AACTGTAGCTCGGAAAAGGACGACACGATGCACGGGCAAACGCGTGTACGAATCCGCGTCTATTCATTTTTCTCCTTCGATCTGGGAATGGGAGAAGCTTCCTTCGTTCGTTCGGTCGAAATGTATTGAGATTTTACATTCGAAAACGAACGAAACATCAAGAAATTTCAATGTAAAAGGACAGTATCGGATATGCCGAAGAAATGGGGGTAGCATATGTGCATACAGGTTAAAAATGCGCTACTTCGCAGCCTGAAATATTATCACCGTTGCCATCGTAAATTTTCATCCTGTACTACGTAATGTCTGAACATTGATATTTAACTAGAAAGTTCGCACGCAGCTCAAATCGAGACATCTAAATCAATTGGTAATGACCGATCAGAACTTTGTACAATGATTTGCCGTACATTTATTATTTATTATCGGGTCAATTCGAATAAAGCGGATATATTAGAAACGAAATCGATAGTAGCCGGAGCATTAATCGGACCACCGAATCATCGCTCCACGGAAACGTGTACAACGATCCAATATATTATATAATAATCCAAGTATACAACACTACTTTTCTTTGACAGCGGAACAAGTCGTTGCCTTTAAAATTAAGCGTACACTTGAGATTACAGTAGAGTAGGCGTGCTCGCACAATTCATTCCAGACTCGTGCGCTTGAAATCCGACGTTTCCACAGATCGTTTAACATTCTTACTTGATATTCATTAATGCGTAAATAGGACACAGACGAGTATACACCTGCGAATATACGGCGAGTCTTTCAACGACGCCGTTTCGAAATCAAAGTAGAGTAAAATAGCGTTGTTGTGTTGTATTGTATCGTATTGTATCGTAGTGTGTTACACGATATTATATTATCTATTATATTATCGAGGATTACGTAGACGGAATCGGACCGTCACGATCGTCCCATAGCAGTTACACTTTCGATTTGTTCCGTTCGTCTTGTTCGTTGAGCAAGGAAGTATCGAGGTTTGTTCGATACGGGTGTTCGGCTTTCTTGCCTCTCGAAATGAAATACGGCTGTTCGAGCACATCCAGTATGACCAAGCGTTGATTTCTTCGTTCGAGCGTTCGACTATTCTCTCGTCTCGCGGAAGCCTCGTTCGCGGTACTGGAATCGCGTTTCGTTTGCGCTCGAGTCATCTTGCCCGTGAAAACACGATTCGGCTCGTTCGATCTCATTGGTCGCGTGTACGAGGGATAGGAGAGGAAATTTGTCTCCTTTCTCGAATAGTGGTAGTTTGTATGGATACGGTCAGCTCGTGCCGCGTCGGTCGCACCATTCTTTAACCGACGAATCCGTTTGCCTCGCGAGAGGACAAAGGGATCGATAGACTGCAAGCGAAGCGGCAACTTGCCCCTGCCGTAATCGTTTGAAATTTCGATCCAACCCGGTTCCTCGACGTACATCGGATTCTCCATCTTCCATCCTTGCTTTCGGTAATAAGCACATTTTTCGGCGTTGTACGATGCGCGCTGATCTCTCTTTCCGTACGGTTCCTCTACATTCACGGAAACGATTATAGTCGGATTGATAGCCTGGCATCGGGGATGGCTCGATTTCGATGTCGAACCCAGCGGTTTCGAGTCCTGCCACGATCCTCTCGCATTTTGCCTCGAACGTCTGCGTCGTAAAGATTTCTCGGGAGATTCTTGTCAGAAATTCCATCGATGCGCTGGCATGCATACGCGCACCGTGCACCGATAATAATTACCTGGCCGTAGTGAAAAACGGTAACGCGAATCGTGCGACCGAAGTTTGCGGTCCAACGGAATCGGTCTCATCCGAATGGATCTTGTCACGCGGCACTTGCTTTCCTGTGTCCCGTCTCGCAGATGGCTCGTCACGGACGCCAGGGAGCTGCAAGCACGGACCAAACACTTGTCATTCGGCAGTAACAACGAGATGTCGTCAACTGTATTGCGCACAGTTTTGACGAATAAATAAATCAGTGTAAATCAACATGTATACATAGATTGAAAGAAGACAAGTAATCCTACAGAATTCGGTGAACAATGACTATTACGTTGTCATGGGAAAGAAATGGCAAATAAATGGCGAAAACGAAAACGCGGCAAAGGCTTCTTCTTTCGATTAGCGAGCAAATCTTTCGTCGAGTCACGCCCCGTCGCTGTATTTTTTAATATTTCTACGTTCGAATACAGTATGTCGTACTACAGCACTCCGTAAAATCTCCGGTTCTCTAATGGTGGAGGAATTGATACGATAACACGTACCATACCGATCGCACCGTACGTCGCCGATGATAAAAGAGCTGCGACGGCAAGTAATCGCTTCATGCCTAAAAACTCGGAAAAGTATGCATCCGATGAGAAACAATCTCCTCGTGTCTGCAAAACGATTCTCAAGTTACATTAAACACGTTGTTCGACCGCCTTAAAATGGATTCCGATCAAGTGGATTTCCAAGTGATTCGGTGTCGTCCTGTTCGCGACACGGTACCTGTTGCGGCGGTCTTCTCCCTACACTCGCATCCACATCCCATCGACGTTCACATTTACATACAGACCCGAATACACATCCACACCCGCGTCCACATCCACGCGTGTACAAGTAGGTGCGCGCACATACACACACCTGTTGTTCGCGAGCAGTTCGCGGTGCGACTTTCGGATAAGAAATGAATACAGCGAGATCGTTCCTTCGGTATTTATGGTGTTCCTCGGTGTATCCAACAAGTGACCTCGTCGCGGTCGAAAGATTAGGAGGATTGCACCGGGAATTCGCAATACCGCCGGTATAGCCCACCTCAATCTATCTGGCCATTCAGCGCAAACAGCCGGGCCGCTTTTCGTTTTTCACATGCCTTTACTTGCGCGAGGAAAGAAGAAAAGTTCACGCCATAAGGGAAATACTTTCCTCGGCGTTGTCAACGACTTTTCTCACAAATAACATATCCCCTGACGTCTTGTTTCCTTTCCTAATGTATATAACAACGCTTGAAATATTCGGTGAAACGAGAGTGTGATTCGAACGAGCGGACAGCTAGAGTTTTCCATGCAACGAGACGCGTTGTCGTAAGAACGTAACGAACCACGAATGAATGCTTTGTCGCGTTTAATGGGATCGTGTCTCGGAAAATCTAGGCAAACAAGAGCCGGCCAACCACGTAAAACGGCATGCGATGTCTTTCGTTCGACTGAAGCTTTTCCGTCGCCAGACGGCGACAAAATAGGCTGCGCTCTTTCTACGAATCATAAAAGAGAGCTTACATACTTGCTGCACTTATGAGTACAAAAGCCTTTTTCTTTTTCATTTCTTGTCTCTTACACACTTGCATACATACGTACACACATACTACAATACATACTTCTTATGTCGTTAGTCTCTAAGAAATGCCTACGCCTACCCTGCAGGGTATTCACGTTTTCTTACAGAATGCAACTTGGTTTGTTCTTTGGAGAAGAAACTTCGGGAAAGAATCGCAAAAAATGGTAGGGCAATTTACTCTTCCCTTCTTCGCTAAAAGACACGTATTTATTCTTTCTCTTTGTTAGAAATTTCGATTCCTAGGCGACGGAGATTGTCCTGATTGGCTACTGGCAGAAATCAACACTTTGTCACGTATGGTATGAGTTCTCGATTATTCCTCGTTATTTTCCGCCGAATATGGCTGAATTTTAAGCTTTCGTTAATTTTCTCATGTTTTTCACACAGACGTCTATCAAAATCAAGATATTGGGTCAGGCAGTCGCAAAGTACCTTGCAGAAGGGGAACTGGACGTAAGTACAGAAAATGAGACACAGTGAAATGATCGTTTTCCGATACTTGATTCGATAAAGGCCTTCCGAATGTTCGTTGCGAGTATTACTTGCAATCGATCGTTTGTCGGTAAATCGAGTGTATACGCACCGAAGCCATTGATTTCGTATCACGATTACATTACAGTTTTGTTTATTTCATTTCGCCGTGTAAACGCGAATACGTGTATCTTTGTTTTATCACGAAGGTACGCTAGATTTTCCCGGTGTTCCTTCTGTTTTGATGCGAAAAAGAACAATTCGATTCTCGAAATACTTCGTGTAAGGGCGACACGTCTCCGCGAAAGCTCTTGACGACACCTAATGTAATATATTAAAGCGAAGCTTTGGAGAAATTTACTCGATGCGGCAGATACGCGAAGAGGTGCACGTGAGAAGTAAGTAGGTATGTCCAACGTATGGTGTAAAAACCATGGTTTCTTTCTTTCAGGAAGAGAAGATTAAAAAGGTCACTCAAGATGCCAAAGTTGGTAAGTGCGGTTGAATTTGTTATCCCAACGTCCTATATCTCGTACTTGGACATTTATGTATTTGCGTGAATCTTTATTGTTAAAAATTCATGTATAACGTATTATTTGCACATACCTACATATATGATCTTTTATCCGTATTCTCTCTTTTCTCTTCGCTCCATGCCACGAAGAACTGAGCGACGCGAAAGCTATGATAGCCGCTCTCGAATTGATATTCGTATCGTCCGCGCGGTACGGAGTTTCAGCCGCCGATTTGAGTAGCGAATTGCAACAACTTGGCTTACCTCGGGAACACAGTGCCGCAATTGCCAGACTGCACACAGATAACAGCCCCCGAATCACAGATGCCCTTTCATCGCAGTCTTTGAGAGGTTAGTCTCACTTTATCTTCGGTTTAAGATCTCGGTATTCACTCTGAACTTTACGTTGTCGTAGAATGAACATTTCACTCGTACAGTTATCAATCTCATGTTTATTCGTTCCGTTCTCGTATAATATTCGAAACTCTTACTCTTCCGTATTCCCCGGATAATTCAGATTCGTTCCGATACGATGAATGCATTGAATTCGTTTAATTCGCATTTCCACGTATCGACCGACGTTCGAGAAGAAAAATATATATAGTACCGAATGTAAATTCGTTGTTCCGCAAGCCCGGTTTTCCTCCACATCACTTTTCAATAAAATGTATCGTTTCCGCAGTTAGTCAATTGTCATCGATCCAAGTGTTGCCTTGCGCTAATTCCTCACCGTTCTCCACGCTGTCGTTCAAGCTGAACAAGTTAGGAGGCACCGGAGAGAATTCTATCGTTAATATCTCACAAGAGGACGTACATATTTTACTCACCGGTAAGAGCATGAAACGCATCGCGCGACTATTCTACAATCGGATAATTAATCGTGTAAACTGTTGCTTTTTCTCCCAAGAATTACGGAGGGCAAAATCGTTAATGGAGAACCTTTGAGTGCCATATGTCCAGAAATCTGCCATATATTAAATTTTGCTCCAATCGGACTAATGCGTTGTACCGATTATAACGATGATGATAATGAAGATAATGTACCGTAGCATACCTTCGCCCAAAAATGACGGAGCTCGTTGTACCCTTATTTCGTATCTGATTTTAGCTGGCTGATAATTCATCGAAAATTAAGAGCCACAGCGTAAAATAAAAATGTGCCGATTATGTAAATTACAAAGGTGAAATAAAGTTCTGAAAAAGGAGGTGGTTTTTACAAGAAACGTAAACTTTGTTTATGGTATAATGTATATTTATTATATTATCATTTTTTCATGTAGCATAACATTGTTATTTCTATAATAATAGTAATAATAATGGTATTAGTAGTAATAATAGTAATAACAATACTTATTATAATAATGTGGTAATAATAAAAATAATAATAATAATAATGATAGTAGTAGTAGTAGCAGTAATAGTAATAGTAGTAATAGTGATACTAATACTAATAATAATGACAACAATAATAATAAGAATAATGATGATAATAATAATAATAATAATAATAATAATAATAATAATAATATGAATACGAATATGAGTAATAATGGTAATAGTAATAATAATAATAATGGTAATAACAACAGTAATGATAATAGTACTTGATAGTAATACTAATAGAGATAGTAATAGCAATCAATAGGTAATTAAGGATAATAATAAATCATAATGATAGCACCATGAACACTCCACAGTAAGTTTGTTAATTCGTTACTCGATAAACGCGACGCACAGATGCGTTTCAAGGAGTGAGAACCGCGACATGTACACAGGTGTGCTGTACTTGGTATGAAGGACTGCAAACGCTTTGTATTTTAGTTGCGATGCAATCTCACAATCAAATAAAGATGCGTATATGAATGACTAGATGTGTTTAAATTAGGAAACAAGATTTTCTGACTAGAACACCGTTGCGCATCCAACATTTCACAAGGGGTAAACATACTTTTGTTTAGATTACTTAGTTATGCGCTTTAGTTTCGAGGCGATTCTTAATCCGAGGAGAAAGAATTATTTAGTCGTTGATCGATATTCTATATGTAACTAGAAAAATGCTGCACAAGTATTGCGATCACGCGAACAGAATGTTTACCCCATTGAAATCTGAACATTCGAATGCGGGAATGATTCGAAAGATCGGCGAGGATTGTTGAAATAGCTTCACCTGCGATTGGTAAGTTATCGTACAGATGAGGAACCGCATCACCGTTCTCACGCCTGATAAGCACCGCGAATTTTAGGGGTTCGTAAAGTGTTGAGGTTTACACTTTATCATCTTTTTAGCGTTCTTTCATTTTTGCGCAATTAAGTCTCCTTCTATTTTCTTTATTCTTATTTCATATTTCTTATCTCTTATCTCTTATCTCTTATCTGTTATCTGTTATCTCTTTCACCTGTTTCTTTGACAATGAGTGCTTAGTGTTTCCTCGTCGTGACTGTGTTGGTGCATTGACGCGCGCCTACCCGCTCGTCTATGCATTTTTGTCAATTTGTTCGTGTGAGTGTTTATTTTTGTCTCTTTTATTGTTCTGTTCTGTTTTGTTCTGTTTTGTTCTGTTCTGTTCCGTTCTGTGTGTATGTTTACTATACGGATATACGCATATTCTCATTTCCCTCTCATCGTCGTACGTACGTTTATCTAAACTGTTTAGTGAAAGCTCGTTTTTAATATTTATACTTTTCCTTTTTCCATTCTCCTCATTTTAAATTCGTCCCTCTTTACTTTTTTACGTAAACTAATAGGCGTGTATCTCCACTCGTCTGTGTTCTTTCCATCAATCGTGTATAGTTTCATTTCATTTATTAGTTTCTTTATTTCTGTTAAATTCAATTTCATAATTTTAACATCCTACCTAAATAGCTGGTCTTTATTACTCGTTAATAAATAATACATAAATACATAGGTACATGCTTCATCGTCATCATACATTTACGCTTCTAACTTTGCTTCCTCGAGTAAAGATATACTTCACGATCAGCGACAGATAATGACGACAATGATAATGATAATTGTGACGGTAGCGACGAAAATGACAACAACAATATAACACCGCTAGTAGTAGTTACGGTGGATGATAATAATGGTAATAAAGCCAACAGCAATAATGGTTTCGTCGTAAACGTTTACGTTGAGGACTGATACATGATAATAATAACAATCAGAAGGAAAAGAAACAAGTAGTGATATATAACAGTGACGATGATGATGATGACGACGACGATGATGATGATGACGGTGATTGTCGTAATAATAGTAATAGTAATAGTAATAACAATAATAAAGAATGATAGCGATTAATCAATAGTATCGACAGCAACGATGATAAAATTGTTCATTGTCAGGTATCACATAATTATCATGACGACGGTTCGAGGATATTAATAGTGATTAGAATATCAATAACAACAATATAATGTAGATGAGATTCTCGTTTCTATGGCTGACAATTCGACTTGCTTGCAATTATTTTCATTCTAATCTTATCGCAGTTTCCATCGATCCTTTATCGACGATTTTTCCTACTCGGATACTTGGAATATTCCGAAAGTGGAATAGTAAACTGTATATGTATGTATATATGTAAAACAATCGAGCACGTAAATAGTGTATTTTACAGAAAAGATTTGTTATTGCCGTTTCGTTACTATTACACACTTACTTGCGTACTCTTCAAACTGATCTTTCATAGTTAATCGACTGGTAATGATCAGAGTCGTTAGTTTATCAGACGCAAGGTATATTTCACCCGACATTCTATATACGTGTCTCCTCTTTGTACATGATGCGCCGTACGTCTATTGGAATTGGAAAACAACGAGGAACGTACTTTGTTACCTTCGACGCGGCGTTCACCGCATTTCTAGACATATGCTTAATCGTGTACGTGGAAATTAGGCTTTGTTTCAATTTGGATGTTTTCACTTGAAATACGTGCAAAATTGTTCCAGTGTATCCGCGATATTCCGGTTTATCGAATCTTTCTCGTGAAATGGGATCGTAATCATCATCCTCGATACTTTCATCACCAACATCACCAGCATCGTGAAAGTATGCAACTATGTTGTCATCATCAGAATCATCATTATCAAGTTCACCGTGTAATAGTAGTAGTAGTAGTAGTAGTAGTAGTAGTAGTAGTAGTAGTAGTAGTAGTAGTAGTAGTAGTAGTAGTAATAGTAATGGTAATAGTAATGATAATAGTAATGGTAATAGTTGTGGTAATAGTAATAGTAGTAGCAGTTGTCGTCGTTGTCGTCACCATCTTGATTCTCGTCGTTATTAATATCGTCATCACCGTTCGAACAATATCTTCGCGCAATTGTTCCTTGCTAGACACTGGACTTTTACGTGTTCCATCTTTACTTGAAGTTTCCGCGCAACAAAGAAACACGCGATTAACCAGGGAAATTAGCATGACTTTCAATTTGTTTTCGTATCGTGGCTGAACACCGACGTTTCTCCCTTCGTAGAATAGACTAGAAACTCTGACGCGATAAAAGCAGTGAATCGAGTATTTTTAATGTTGCTCTCCAAGTCCCGGAACTACCCAAGTTCCGAGGCTTGTTTCGACAGCAGGCATACATACATACACTCGCACACATATATTTGTATTCGTTCGGTGAACAAATAAATCTTACATAATTCTCACGATCGGCAACCCCGTCGGGTGGTACCGTAATTATAGTTGAACTCTACTTTCAACGTAGTGCGCATTTGAAATTGAAACTCTTCTCATCCCCAGTACTTTGGATTTCGTTTCCTGTAAATGAATCATGTTTCCTTTCTAAAAAATATCTACAAACGGATCAATGATGACAGGGCGGAGGATAGAGGCGGAACAATCAGCTCTTTAACGCGCCGTCCTGCAGTCGGACGAACCTGGACTTTGTCCATTGGATGGATATTGTCGGTGGCTCACACTTTTCTCGATACAGTACTTTTCTCGCTGTAACAAAGGTAGCAAAGGCTTTTGGTAAATTCCACTTTTCACCGTTCGTCTGTCAGTGGTGGGTAGTACATCATTGTCCGCGATCATTGTTCGCTTCTTGGTCAGAATCGATAAAACGCTTCTCCGAGATTCAACCGCGAGTCAACCTACCGTATCGTCTCGTTTCGAACAATTCGAAATTATTCACAATACCCTTCCCCTCCGACCTTGTTGGCTCTCTACCTTCCCCTGTTCCTCTTTTCCTTCGCTTTTCCTTTCACTCTCCTCTCACTCGTTCCTCGGCCGCGGTCATTAAACCTCATCGATTTGTCGTTCCGTTCTTGTCTGGGTCGATAATTGTAAATCGTTTGTTGAAAAATTTCGTGTCATTCACGATGCAGAGGAGAGGCTTTGAATTAACGTTATTCAACTGTAGAATGCATCTAAAATACAATAGACTACATCTTGTCTTTCTTGCTGTTCTTGCTTCATTTCAAACACACACGCACACGTGCGTTTCGTGTTCTCATCGATAGACCGAAGACATAGAGATGAACGGAACATTGAAAATGAAATGCTTCAAAGGATCATGCTCGAAGAGAGTAGGAACCGGAAAATCTCCTTGATCGTTTCGATCGTTTATCAAGGAGAAGAGTAATACGGGGAAAAAAGAGAAAAGATTCGATCGAATCAACATACTGGCCAAAATAAGGCGTAGAGGTATCGGTTCTGACACTTTTCTTGTCCAGAATAAACCTCGGAAGCTGAATCGCGAATCGACTACGAAACGAAATTGAGCCGAGTTCTCAGGGTAGCCTCTCCTCAACGATGTCCACAGGTCGAGAGAAGTCGTTGGCTAACGGAATCGATAGGGACGGTAAGTGGTAATAACGAGGGTGGTATCGAGTTTGCCTGATCTCTATTTGCAAGGAACCGAGTCCAGAAACTAAACTATGGTGATGCATATTCTGGACACCGCTCAGAACTCAACTATTACGGCTGAGCAGGCTGCCAATCCCTAGAATTCGAGTCTGTAGGCACTGCAACTAGTCTCGTGGTCCTGAAGATTGATCGTACATCGGGATGCCGAGGGCGAGAGATCAATGTGATTTGCGTCGAGAGCCTCCTCGTTGTCGGCCACCCAACAGCCCAGTGTATCCGTGTCGTAGGTCGGTATTATGGTCACCTCTGTCAAAGAACAATCTTGTAAGAATAACGTCATAACTTATAGAATGTATAAAATGTTGCATGTTATTAAAGAATAACGAGTGAAAAGTCACTATGGCTAGAAATACAGTTGTAAATGTATATGTAGGTGTGGGGTAGGTGTAGGCGTGGGTGTAGGTGCGAGTGTAGGCGTGAATGTAAGTAGGTGTGGGGGAAAAGTCTCCGAAAGCACGGAGAAAATCAATCCGAGGAGAAAACCCACCGAGATCTTTGTCTTCCCAAGTCTTCTTGGCCTCCAGTAACGCGTCGTAGACTTCCCTGCTTGGTTCTGTGCCACTGAACACGTAATACCTCGCGCGTACTCTCTTAAAGAAGTCCAGCGACGTGTAATAGGAATTCCCGTGATGGGGCACGTACGTCAGATCCACGTATACAGGTTGAATCTTGTTCTTCGAGTCTTTGATCTTCTTCTCGTTCTTGCCGGGACTCTCCGAGCGTTTCTTATTCTTCAAGTTCTCGGACAAGACCTTCCTCGCTTGTTTCTTCTCCTTGCGCGGTGTACTCGGAGCACCCTTGTTCGAGAGCTCATTGCTGACCGGAACCAGCGCGGGAGAGGGCAGCCTGAGCGGTTCACCCCACTCGTTGATGGTATCGAACTGTTGTCTCGCGTCCGCGACCATCTCGGCTGTGTTTCCGGACTGGATCGCTGGACTCTTCAAGTTGAACTTGCGCGGTGGTTTCGGCGACGGAAGGCCGAGAGGGGTTCCCCAACCGTCCAGGGGATCTTTCTTCGAATCGGCCGGTTCCCTCCCATCCTCGGCCCCTTCGACCATCCTCGTCCCGTCCGACGCATCGCCGCGAACGCTGCCGTTCGTGTATCTCGCCGATATTCCTCTGGCGAGCGAGTCGAGCGGCTCTTTCATCTCCTTGGATTCCATCAGAGCCTTCTCGAAATCGAGATCTGCCTCGTCCACGTATTTCTTCGCGTCCGGTTTCTCCTCGTAACCGCCGGCGTATTCTTTCTCGACGGTAAACACTTTCGACGCGGAATCGCTGCTCGGTATCGGAATCGGGCCGCTGCTCTTGCGCCCGCTGTCGACCAAGTCCTCTTGGAATGTTTTCATGGCACTGATTTGCGAGGGGACGGCCGGCAGTTCACCGTAAAAGCTACCGCTCATGGCAGCCTCGGAGAATCCTACCGACGAACCGTGTTTGCCGACGCGTTCGCTCGGCTCTGGTGCAGATCTCAATCGACCGCTCGCATGGGAGAACGTCCACTGTTCGTCGTCGCCATCACCGGAGCCACTTTGCTTCTCGTGGCCGAGTTTGCTCGCCTCCTTCGATTCGGAACCTTCGACTTGGCTCTCCGAGTCGGACAATTTTAGACCGCCGATGATGCTGCTGATCGCTGACTCCGCCGCATCCTTGCTAGGCAAATATTCGTCCACTTTAACGTCGACCTTCTCCGCCAAAACGATAGTTTCACCTCTCTCGTTTGTCGTTTCTGTGACTTCTCTGGTAGTGGTCACGATCTCGCCGTCATCCGAGACCGTTTTCGTCGTCGTAATGATCGTCCTTACAACCTCGCCCGATCGGAAACCTTCCGGTGTCGCAGTCAACGATCTGCCCTCCGCCTTCTTACTGTCTGGCGTAGATCGGCCAGAGACGAGCGACTGAACGGCCGCGGCACCGGCACCGCTAAAGCCCGTCGCGACGTCTCGTGCCAGAGGAGATGCCGGTTGTCTTTCCTTCTGCACTGCCTTTTCTGCCTCTTTCTCTGCTGCCGTTCGTTCTACTTTTTCCTGTCCGCCCGCCTTCTCTCCTTGTTCCTCTGCTTCCCCTCCTTTCTTGTGTTCCATTCGTTTCTCCTCTTCTCGCTTAGAATCGGCCGCTTGTTTCGTATCGGACATGCCCTCGTCCGCTGTCAAGTAATCGTCCGATTTAATACTGGTCACTGTCGTTTCCTCGGTTAATTCGGCATCCTCTTTAGAACTGTCGCTGCGTTCCGCTGTTTCGGCCGAACTTTTACCTTTCGAACTTTTCTCGATAGACGACGAATCGCCGATCGTCACGGTTGGTTCTTCGGTAACGACGATCGTTTTCGTCTTGGTGGTTATCGTTTCGACGATCTCCGGTACTCCGCCTTCACTTACAATTCTCTTTACTCTTTCCAAATCTTTCGCATCTTTAATATCGTCTTCGGAAACAATGATTTCCCGCTTAATCACCTTCGTGATATATACTGGCTCGCTCTGTTCGATTATTTCCTTTTTCACAATTTTCTCGATCGTTTCAGATTCTCCGTCTGTGGTCGTCTCGCGTTGCCCGATCACTTCCGTGATCACTCGAGGTTCTTGTTGCTCCACCACTTGGTGTTTCACAATTTTCTTGATCACTATAACCTGATCGTCGAACTGATCGCCGGCAGATTGTTCGTCTCTGCTCGTTTCGGTGGTAACAGTAGTCGTAATCTTTTTCTCGGATTCGTGCCCTTGCAAAGGACTCGACCCGTCTTCCTTCTTCTCCAATTTCTCCGGTTTGTCCAATTCGCCTGGAGCTGGCTGAGAGACGTCCAGTCCTTCAATTTTGCTTTCCTTTAACACGCCAACTGTCTCAGCCGCGTGAGTCGCACCGTCCAGACTCGATCCGGACCCCTTGTCCGGTGAAGCACCCGAATCGGATGGTTTGCTTCCCAGAGATTTCTCTTCGACCCTTTCGACGGTGGAAGCCGTAGGCTCCGAAACTGAATCCGGTGTTCCGTCGCGAGTGATGTCCGGCGTCGATTTCCCCGACAGCGTCGTGATGTGGGTTGTACGGATTTCCGTCATTCCACCGACGAATGCCTTGTGAAATTGGCTCTCGTAATTTACCGGATAGTCCGAGATCGACCCGCGCAACTCTTGACCGTCCTGCGCCTCTGAATACTCGGTTGCCGTGTCGGCGTAATCGTAAGTCGGTTTCGCAGCGTCCTCGACGAGCTCGTGTCGAGACTTTTGCCCGCGATAATCCTCCTTCTCGTAACTCTCATCGGGATAAATCTGTACGTCGATCATCGAGTCCCTCGGAAGCTTCTTCTCCAGGATCATCTCTTCGATTATCTCCAGAATAATGTATCGCGGCAAGTGTGTTTTCACAATGACCTCCTCCAGCATTTCTTCCGTGATCTTCTTTGCTCTTCTAATGAACTCTTCTTCCAACAGTTTCTCGATTTCCGTTCTCTTCTGCAGCGTAATGGCAATCATTCCGTGGCCGTGCGGCTCGGAGTGAACGGGACTGTCTTGGGTAGATTTATCGGAAGCGATCAAGTCGGAACACACGCTGGGGCTTCTCGAGCCTGCGCTCCCATCCCTTTGCTCTCTGTCCTGATCTTGACCTACCGAACGCTCGACCGGCGTGCCGTGTCGCGTCGCCTCCTTCTCCTCGACAGCGTCTGTCGGAGTCCTCTTGGTTGTCGCGCTCTCCTCGGGACTGTCCACTCTGTCCCTGACAAAGTCTACAACCGAATCCCTCCGCACGTTCTCCTTCGCGATAACGGTCTCTATGATGTCCATCACTACGAATTCTGGCACCGAATACGTCATCACGATCTTCTCGATCACGGATATTGTAATTTTCCTCTTCCTCCATACGTATTCCTCCAATATGTATTTTTCGATATCTGCTTTTTTCTCGGCCGTCACTTTCACCACATCTTCTTCCTGCTCTTCTCCCAGTTGCTCCGTCTTTTTCTTAACAGAGACATCCGCGGCAACGGCGGATGATTCCCTTTTCATGCCATCGATGGTTTCCAACTCTTTCTCGATTAATTTCGTAGGGGCGATTTCGATTCTAGTCGGATCTTCCGATTTAAACGATGATTCGGGTATTTCTTTTCCATCCGCGCTTCTACGTTTCCGTGCACCAACCTGCTCGACCTGTGAATCTTTTTCCTCTTTTTCTTTTCCCGTTTCTGCCTCCTTTCCCTTTTCTTCCTTCTCCTCTTTCTCCTTCTCAAGTTTTTCTCGGATATCTTTTTCGAGTGACTTCTCTTCGTACACGCTTCCAGCTGTAGATTCGGCCGAGCAACTCTTATCGTCGGTGTCGTGTAAGCTGTGAGATCGAGATCCGTCCAAAGAGGTTTGTTTGCTCTCCGGTGATCGGTCTTGTGGCTCCAATCTCGCGTCACCGGATAGTATGTCTGATTTGCTTGTAGTTATGCTGGGAGACCTAGACTTTCCATCGATGCTTTCATCGAGACCTTTCGGTTCAGCTTTCTCGCCAACAACGCTAGCTGCTTTCGAACGGTCCGAACCAAGTACATCTTCCGAGTCGCTAACCGAACTCGCCATACTCACCGCTCCAGATTTCTCAACGACTTTGATCTCGGCACCGGTTGTGTCAGACTTTTCAGTGGGGATACTGGGGGATCTGGACTTTACGCCTGTAGATTCGTCAAGATCCTTCGACGCGGGCTTTCCGCCGGCGATGCTCGGGGATTTCGAACGATCAATCGGTTCTTTTGCCTCGCCGGAAACGCTCGTGACGCTGGCAGATCTCGACTGTTCCGCTACTTTATCGTCCATTACTTTCGTCTCGTCTCTTTCGCCGACAACGCTGGGTGATTTCGAACGATCCGAAGCGATCGATCCAGCCGAATCGACAACCGGACTCGCGACACTCGGCGATCTGGATTTCTCTGGTGCTGTGCCGTCGGCATCGAGCTTTTCGACGGTTGTACCATCGAGATCTTTCAGTTCGGACTGCTCGCCGGCGACACTTGGAGATTTCGAACGGTCAGCGGCAACGGGCTCCTTTGGTTCACTGGAAACGCTCGTCATGCTGGCCGATTTAGACTTTTCCAGCACTTTTTCCTCGCTCGCCTTCGAATCAACTTTTTCGCTTGGAATGCTGGAAGACTTGGAGCGATCCGCCATTCCTGTCGAATCACCATCCGGGCTTGGGCTCAAACTCGCGCTCAGAGTCGGACTCCGACTAGTCCTGTCCGTTAGTCTAGCTTCGTCGAGCTTTCTCGCGTCGATGTCCGTCGCGACAGGCTTCTCGGCAACTATACTGGGAGATCTGGACTTTTCGAGTACAGGTTCGTCGACAGCTTTCACCGAAGACTTCTCGCTCGAGATGCTCGGCGATTTCGAACCGTCAGCCGAATCGAGTTCTTTCGGTTCACCGGAAACGCTTGTAACGCTGGCTGACCTGGACTTGTCCAGTACTTTTTCCTCGATTACTTTCGAATCGTCGCGCGGGCTCGCCATACGCGGCGGGGATCCAGACTTATCGTCCGTTGCGTCTGCCTTTTCGATATCTGTACTCGGAGATACGGATTTCCTGCTCACCACATCATCGGCACGCTTCGGTTCGTGTTCCGCGGGTGCTACGGTTGGCGATCTAGAGCCACCGGTCGAACCGACTTGCTTCGATTCGCCGGAAAGACTGGTGACGCTGTCCGATCTGGATTTATCGAGTACTTTCTCATCGAAGTCTCTCAGATCAGCTTTATCGGTGGTCGTGCTGGGAGATTTCGATTTTCCCGGCACACTGTCATCGGAATCCTTAATTTCGGCTTTCTCGCTTGGCGATTTCGAACCCTCAGCCGATTCATCTGGTTCAATGGAGACACTAGTAACACTCGGCGATCTAGACTTTTCCGACACTTTCTCATCGATTACTTTTGTCTCGCTTTTCACGCTGGCAGAACTAGGTGATTTCGATAGATCAGTCGAACCAACTTCCTTTTGCTCGTCTGGCACGCTCGTAGCGCTTGTGACGCTTGTCACGCTTGTCACGCTTGTCACGCTTGTAACGCTTGTGACGCTCGTAGCGCTGGGTGATACAGATTTTTCCGGTGTTTTGTCTGCGTCTTCCGCCAACTTGTCTGGCTTCTCTGCAGCTGCAGCTGTGGCAGAAGGTGAATATTTCTCAAGCACGATTTCACCGACATCTTTCGCTTCTGTTCTTTCGCTAGCTATGCTCGGCGACTTTGAACGATCGAATGATTCCTTGCGTTCGGCTGAAACGCTCGATTCACTGGGCGATCTAGATTTCTCGAGTTCCTCGGCAGCCGTACTGGGAGCTTTCGATTCTACAGCTGTGGTCTCGCGAACATCCTCTAATTCTGGTTTTTCGTCGGTAATGCTCGGTGTTTTCGAATGATCGGTCGATGCTTTAGGTTCACCCAGACCACTGGACACACTGACCGATCTGGACTTTTCGAATGCTTTGTCATCATCGATCTCTGTTACGTCAGGTTTGTCGGTAGTTGTACTAGGAGATCTGGATCCACTGATCGTAGACTCACCCACGACTTTCGATTCCGGCTTTTCGCTGGCGACACTTGGCGATTTTGAACGGTCAGCCTGTTCCTTTGATTCACCGGCTGCGCTCGTAATGCTTGTCACGCTTGTAACACTAGGCGATCTGGACTTGTCGGATGTCTTGTCTTCGATAGTTGTGGTTTCAAGCTTTTCACCAATAATACTAGCGGATCTAGCCTTTTCGGCCACGCCGTCTTCGAGATCCCTCAACTCGGGCTTCTCGCTAGCTATACTCGACGTCTTTGAACGATCAGAGGGTTCTTTAGCTTCATCCGAAACGCTCGGAGATCTGGATTTTTCTATCGCAGTTTCTTTTTGATCCTCCAATTCAGGCTTTTCGCTGGTGATGCTTGGCGATTTTGAACGATCAATGGGTTCCTTAGGTTCCACTGAAATGCTAGGCGACCTGGATTTTTCTGGAGCTTTCTCACTAACGTCGGCTGCGCCAGGCTTATCTGGAGTTACACTGGGAGATCTGGATTTCTCTGTTACAGTTTCACGTACATCCTCCAATTCAGCTTTCTCGCTGGCGATGCTAGGTGATTTTGAATGGTCAACAGGCTCCTTTGCATCTCCTGAAACACTGGGCGATCTAGACTTTTCTGATACTTTCTCATCAATACGTAACGTATCAGGCTTATCAGTAATTGTACTGGAAGTTCTGGGTTCTTCTGTTACAGCCTCCCGTAAATCCACCGACTCAGGTTTCTCGCTGGGCGATCTGGATTTCTCATGTACAGTTTCACGTACATCCTCTAATTCGGGTTTTTCGCTAGCAATGCTAGGCGACTTTGAATGATCAGTGGGTTCCTTAGGTTCCCCTGAAACACTAGGCGATCTGGATTTCTCAAGCTGTTTGTCATCGATAACTCCCGTATCGGATTTGTCGGCAGTTACACTGGGAGATCTGGATTTTTCTGTTACAGATTCACGTACATCCTCTAATTCGGGTTTTTCGCTAGCAATGCTAGGCGACTTTGAATGCTCACTGGGTTCCTTAGGTTCCCCTGAAACACTAGGCGATCTGGATTTCTCAAGCTGTTTGTCATCGATAACTCCCGTATCGGACTTGTCGGCAGTTACACTGGGAGATCTGGATTTTTCTGTTACAGATGCACGCAGATCCTCTAATTCGGGTTTTTCGCTAGCAATGCTAGGCGACTTTGAATGCTCACTGGGTTCCTTAGGTTCACCTGAAACACTAGGCGATCTGGATTTCTCACTCACAGTTTCAC